CCCCCACCTCCCTCCGTCCCCAGGTCCTGGGCTCCCGGCGATGAGCGGGCAGGTGAGCGCCTCGGGCGCCTTCCGGAGCCTTCCCTGCAGAGCGAACCCCAACGCAGACTGGATGTCGGGGCTGAGCCCGCGGCTGTGGGACGTGCCCCTGCACCACCTGTCCATCCCGGGTGAGGCCCGGCCTGTCCGGCGTGCGGTTGGCTTTTTGTTGTGAATCCTCAGGGGCTGAGGGTGTTTCCCGTTGGTTTTAGAGCGAGTGGAGGGAGGGCAGGGATGGAGCCTGCGACCAGGTGGGTGCCCTTGACCGGAATCGAACTCGAGACCTGTGGGTGCCCAGGCCTGTGCTCTAACCACTGAGCCACTGGCCAGAGTGACCACATTATTGTTTTTATTTTAAATATGTTTTTATTGATTTCAGAGAGGAAGGGAGAGGGAGAGAGAGGGAAGCATCAGTGATGAGAGAGAATCATGGACCGGCTGCCTCCCGCCCTTGACCAGGAATCGAACCCGGGACCCTCCCAGGACGGAGACCCCACAACTCAGACGCTCAGCTCCTCCCCACGTCCTGGGGGGTTGGGGGGACCCAAGGGGGGGCCCTGGACGGGGACACGTGCCACCCACCCAGCGAGAGTGGCCTTGGGCTCCTGGGCCGCTGTCTGTCTGTCTGTCTCTCTGCCTGTTTCTGTGTCTCTGTGTCTCTGGTTTTCTCTCTTTCTTACATCTGTCCGTCCGTCTGTCCGTCTGTCCCTCTCTGTCCGTCTGTCTTTGTGTGTGTGTCTCTCTCTCCTCCCTGTCTCTCTGCCTCTGTCTCTGTCTCTCTGGTTTCCTGTCTCTTTCTTACATCCGTCTGTCCGTCTGTCCCCTCGTCTCCGAGCCTTCACCCCATCCCGTCTGCAAAGGCCCTGTTCCCATGCAGGTCCCCCCAGCAGGCTCTGGGAGGACGCGAACTCTGGGCCGCGGGCCGCCCAGCTGTGCGCTTCCCCTTGGGCGTGTTCTCCGTGGGTGTCCGTGGGTCACCTGTCAGCCCCGTGGGCAGCTCCGAGCTCCCGGGGAGGGACTCACGGGGCCTGTCCGGCTCGGTTCCAGGCAGCCACGACACGATGACCTACAGCCTGAGCAAGAGGTCGCCCGTTTCCCGCTCGGAGTCCCGGCTGCTGCAGCTGCTGGCCAAGTTCCTGCCCTGCATCCTGCAGCCCGTGGTGCTCAAGTGGTCGGTCACCCAGGTAAGGGCCTCCGTCCGTCCGTCCATCCGTCTGTTCATCTGTCCGTCCGTCCGTCCGTCCATCCAGGGGGGCTGGTTCCCGCGTCTCCCCACCCGGCTGACGCCCTACTCTCCAGGGAAAAATAGCTGAGCCCTGGCCGGTTTGGCTCAGTGGAGAGAGCGTTGGCCTCTGGACTGAAGGGTCCCGGGTTCGATTCTCGACAAGGGCAGGTACCTTGGTGCATGCAGGACACACCCATTTAATGTGTCTCTCACATCGATGTTTCCCTCTCAGTCTCTCCCCCCCTCCTTCCACTCTCTCTCCAAATCCTGGGCTGAGGGGTGAGGCCTGAGGGGTGAGGGGTGAGGGGTGAGGGACAAAACTGCATTTCTGAGTCTGGCCCTCACAGCAGTCTGACTGGTCTCCTGCTTGACCCTCCTCTCTTACTAATACACCCACGAAATGAGTGGCTTTTCTTGTGAAAAGCCAGCACCTACTCTGCCACTAACTTGCATGTGACTTAAGGGCAGACTTTTTTTAACACCCTGGGCCTCAGTTTCCCCATCTGTCAATGTCACCTGAAATCCCTCCTGGATCTGACATTTGTAAGGGAAAAATAATGTTGGCTTGCTGCTTCTGGGTAACTGGGCTTCCTTTTTACAGCTCCGCTCTTTTTATTGTTTATGAAATTCTCAGTGATCGGAGTTGAATGGCTAGCGGCACTAACATATTTGGGGTCTGCGACTCCCTCCTCTTGAGTGATATACCAGTTCTTTGAGCAGACAGGGCAGGTGGCAGGCCTCCTACAGCCTTCAGTCACCGGGACTGTGAGAAGTTGCTTCTCCACTGACACCGTTTAAGAACTGGAATTGGCCATGGCTGAGGTTCCTTTTCCAGCTACACAGATGGTCTGTATAGCAAACAAACGCTGTTGTTTTTTGTCTTATTTTCTGAAAACAGGGTCAGAAAACCTTCATATTTCTCACATCTTGCAAAAAGCAAAAATTGAAGTCAGTGAAGACGGAACCAAAGCTTCAGCAGTCACCAGTAAGCCGGGGTCCTGGCGGGGCTGGTCCTGGTGCGGGGGTGACGGGTGAGGGGTGAGGGGTGAGGGGTGACGGGTGAGGATTAACAAAAAAATAAAAAATAAAACCAGAAAACAAAGCTCTGGCCGACCCAGAACCCGCCCCACAGGGAAGGGGACCAAGGACTTGGGTTCTTGTAGAATCCGGTCCAGCCTGAAGGGAGCAGCCGCTCAGGTTACAGCTGCAGGTGTCGGACCCCGTGCACCTGGGCGGGGACTGGGGGTGCCCGGGTCCCCCAGGGAGTCACTCAGGCCCCTGCCCCCCAGAGGTGCACATGCGTGTGAGCTGGAGTCAGGCCTTCCTCCCGGGTGTCCCCTCCGGCAGGACACACTGGGAACGTGGACCGGCCACAGCCTTGCTCGAGGGACCCACACGCGTGGAAAAGGAGAGGACCCCTCACCCGTTTCCTCTAGGAAATGCTCTGAGAGGGACGGAGGGGCCACCCTTCGGTCCACCCTTTATTTGGGGGGCCCACCTCCCTCCGTGCAGCCCCGCCCCATAGGTGAACTGCAGATTTTAGGGCCACTGAGTGTGGGGAGCAGGGATGGAACCTGCAACCCAGGCACGTGCCCTCGAACAGGAATCCAACTCGAGACCCTTGGGTGCCCAGGCGGATGCTCTAACCACAGAGCACGGCCCGCCAGGGGGGGTCACATTATTATTTAAAATATGTAAATAAACAGCCCGGCCGGCCTGGCTCAGTGGTTGAACATTGACCCATGAACCAGGAGGTCCCGGGTTCGATTCCCGGTCAGGGCACAGGCCCGGGTTCTGGGCTCCATCCTCAGTGGGGGGCGTGCAGGAGGCAGGGGATCCATGATTCTCTCTCATCATGGATGTTTCTCTCCCTTCCTTCCTCTTAGAAATCAATAAAAATAGATTTTAAAAAATAACATAAAATATATAAATATATTAATATACATGGATCATCCCCAACGTGGGGCAAACGTCGGCTTGCAGTTCTCCCTGTGGAAATAATACAGTAAATAACCCACCATCTACCTCTATATATAAGAGCCTAAGCGACCGGCCGACCGGCCGGAGCTATGACGGGTGCTGACCACCAGGGGGCAGTCGCTCCGCACAGGAAGGAGCTGCCAGGCCACCGCACCTTTGCAGAGCGGCCTCTCGCACTCGGGACCCCTCGGGGGACGTCCACTGCCAGTCCCCCCCCATCCCCGCAGGCCAGGCCGGGGGACCCCACCCGTGCACGCAGGGGCTCAGTACATGACAATGCAGGGACCCCCTCTTCTGCAGACTCACAGCTGTAAGCCTGCTTGTGCCCACCCTGGGTTTGGGGATCCACATGGAACAGACACGTGTAACGTCATCCAAACGCGAGCTGAGAATTTCAGTATTTTATTTCCTATGTTTTCCTTTGCTGGCAATTCAGATGCCTTAGTCGCTCAGGGCGCAC